CTAATTTTTGGAAGTAGACTGCCAGGCCTTTCTTCCTAGTCTGTCTTAGTCTGGAAGCTCCACTGAAACCTATCCACCATGGGTGACCCTGCTGGTATTTGGAGTGCTGGCGGCATAGCTTCCAGCATCACAGTAACACGCAAGCCACTGCAGCATGACACATGGACAGACAGGTGGTGGGGGCCCACAGTAAGGATTCAATAAATGTTCCCTGCTACGACTCTTGAGAATTCTCACCACCATCTGGCTCTACAGCAAGTTCCCAGGCAGGTTGACTTTGCAAGCCCTGACTGTTTAGATTAGAGCCCACCACTTTGGCCTGTGGGAATTATCTTCAGAGAAAGGACACGGAAAAGTCCAAAATCTCTCAGTAGAACCCTTTCATTTCCCAGCACACTCAAGTTGAAGTGATGGCTAAAACAAGACAAGACCAGCCAGGAGTTTGCCTTTGCATTCTAGAATTGCTGAGCAAAGAGGAAAGGGGTCCTTGCATTAGGAATGAAGATAATAGGATCGCTTAGGGTTAAGAGCTCCACCTCTGGGCAGACATCTTGGGTTCAAATCCTGGTTCTGCCTCATACTAGCTGGTGACCTTGGACAAGTTACTCCACTTTATCCATAAAATAGATGGAATAGCACTCACCTCATTAGGGTTTTGGGGAGGATTGAGTAAGTGAAAATAAGTGAATGCATGCAAAGCACTTAGCACAGCGCATGCCACATCAGTGCACTCAGTAAGCAGTGGCTCTTATGTCCCCTGGTGTTTATACGCCCACAGTCACAGACCAAGTGGAGGGGAGCCAGGATGCACACTCCCGAGCCCCCTTCCCACGAGTTCATGCTAGTTTCCTGGGAATGTGTAAATCTCACTCTTCTGCTTGCTCACCGTCCTGGCAAGAGGAGAAGGAGTATCAGTAGCTCCTGTGGAATCCAGGGGAAGGGGCAAGACAGAGCAGATGATAAAAGGGAAACTCACTGAAGAATCACTCTAAACGTTGGGGGTGTTGGAGTCGGGGGGATGCAGCAGCCATTGGACCCATTCTTTAAATTGTCAACACAGCAGAAGACCATGAAAGAGAGAGAACACCCTCAACTGTGAAATATTGTCTGACTCACAGGGTCTCCAAGCAAGCTGACAGGTATTAACTTGATTACTCCAGAGCAGATGTGACAAAACTAATCTCCATCCTGGTTACTGCAGCTAAGGTCATGGGGACTATCTCAGCCAAGGGCTGTCACATGCTGGCACTTGGAGCTTCCTCACCCAAGCCTGCAAATGCTTAGCATGGTCTGAAATTCTGTCTCCCTCTTAGCTCTATACTATACACCATGTGTATGAAGGGGGGTTGTTGTCCACATTCAACAATTACCAATTGACTTCAATAAGTGCCAGGCACTGTTCAAAATGTCAGAAAGATACAGCAGTGAGCAAGATAGATAAGGTCCCTGCTCTCATGGGGCTTACACACTTTGAGGAATTATCTTGGTAGATATATTCCTCCTTCATTCCTTCCCCTTTCCTTTCCTCCCTCTCTCCCTCCCTCCCTTCCTTTTCTTCTTTCTTTCCTTCCTCTTTTCCTTCCTCCCTTCCTTCCTTCTTCTTTTCCTCTCTCCCTCCCTCCCTCCCTTCCTTCCTTCCTTCCCTCATTCATTCACTCATTTAATACATACTCTGGAGTCAGACTGCATTCTGGCTTGGCCACTTATTAGCTAATACAACCTTGAGCAAATTTCTTGACCTCCAATTCTCCCTTTCTCAAAATGGAGATAAGAATAGGTCCCACCCACAGGATAAGCCCTACAGCTATGTAAGGGCATGGCTCTGAGAGACAGCTGGGAAACTGAATTCAAGAACGCACTCCGCCCACAGCCTGTTAGCCTGGGAGGCTGAGAATGATGGATGAGGAGTCTGTCCAGGTCTGAGTGAGCTGTGTTCTCCACCCTGGCAAGCCTTGAGTCCATTGTGTATCTCTGAGATTGATGAGGTGGTGCACCTGGCCAGATGAGGCCATTCCCAGTGTGTATCCAGGCAAGGCTACGTCTGGTACAAGGCTGGGCCTGGGGGGAGTCCTCATTGTCATCCCTGACTATCTGCACCCTGCTGGTGAGACTTCTGGGGGCCTGGAAGCTGGCCACTCCTCTGGAGAATGTCACTGAGCTCCCATTCTATATCCTGAGTGCACTGACATCCTTCTGTATCCTTTAGATAAGGGAACTTTATGTGATTTATTCAAGTGGCTGCTGAATCTGGTCTTTCCATCAATCTGTTTCTACCACTGACATCTGTACACAAGTGGTCGGGCTGATTGGGTTTCGGGGAAAAATTCAATGAGATCATGAGTCCAGCACTTAGTACAGTATCTGGCCCAGAGCTAGACCTTAATAAAAGTTAGCTAATTTTTATTACTGGAGTCGCTGGGCCGTGCAAATGATTAACGTGCTTAGCTACTAACCAAAAGGTTGGAGGTTTGAGTCTACCCAGAGGCACCTCAGAAGAAAGTCCTGGCAATCTACTTCCAAAAAATCAGCTACTGAAAACCCTACAGAGTACAGTTCTACTCTGACATACGTGGCGTCGCCATGAATTGGAATCAACTTGACGGCAACTGTTTTTTTTGTTATTATTATTATTAAGCACTTAACTATGTGCCAGGTGGAGGCCTGGTTGCACAGTGGTTAAGCACTTAGCTCGTAACTGAAAGGTCGGCAGTTGGAACCCACCAGCGGCTCCATGGAAGAAAGATGTGTGGCAGTCAGTTTCAGTAAAGATTTCGGCCTTGGAAACCCTATGGGGCAGTTTTACTCTGTCCTACAGGGTAGCTATGAGTTGGAATCGCCTCAACAATATCAAGTTTATGCGCCAGGCAAGAAGGTCCGGTGGTTCAGTGGTTGACTGCTCAGCTGCTAAACAAAAGATTGGCGGTTCAAACCCACCAGCCGCTCCATGGGAGAAAGATATGGCCGTCTGCTTCTGTAAACATCATAGCCTTGGAAACCCTATTGGGCAGTTCTACTCTGCCGATAGGGTTGCTATGAGTCGGAATTGACTTGATGGCAATGGGTTTTTTTGGTATATGAGCCAGGCATGTGCTAGATGCCAAGGATGATGCTCACTCATGTGCACATGCACACACACACAGGCAATGCAAAAGTCAGTAAATGCAGAGTTACAGCCATTTTCCTTTCTCTTAGCAGCAAAAGGAACGTCTGGCTCCTCTAGAGCATCTGACAGGCTGAAGGGTCTCCTTAGCACCTTAGAGCAGAGCCGATGTTCTCTGTCTTCCTTCCTTTTTAAACAAAGGGGGTGAGGGATTGTTTCTGAACATACATACATTAGTTTAGCTTATTCCCAGACAAAGAGAGGATGTTTCTTATCTGTAAAGCAGGGATATTCTAGAACGTTCCCTGAGGACTCCTGCGAGAATGAAAAGGGACCACTGACACAAAACATTTAGCATAGGGTCTGGCACACGTGAAAAGCATGATAAACAGGAGCTGTTAATCATAGCCCATTTTAGGGGGTGAGAGAGAAGGTGGTATGTAATAGTAAAAATATGGGTTTTAACAACCAACATGTCCAGATGAATGACTAAACAAAAGGTGGTATACACATACAATGAAATATTGAAGTTCTGATGCACGCCACTACATGGATAAACCTTGAAAACATTTTGCTGAGTGAAATAAGTCAGTTATGTGAAATAAGCAAATATATAGAAACCAAAGATTATTAATGGTTACAAGGGGTGGGAGGGAGGGGGAAAGGGGGAGCTCTTGCTTACGGGGCATTGAATTTACATTAATGGAGGTAGAATGATTTGGGAAAGGACAGCAATAATGGTTGCACAACAGGAAGAATATAATCAATGTCAATTACACATGTAGAAATTACTGAGATGGCGTATGTTTTGCTGTGTATATTTTCACCACAATTTAAAAAGAAAATGAGTTTTGAGGGCAGGAAGATCTGGGTCTGAATCCTAACTCCCTATTTACTAGTTGGGAGGCCTTGGGCAGGTTGTTAAACTTCTCTGAGACTCATTCTCGTCATCTGCAAAACGGGACAGTCACATCACTGGCCTCACAGTGTTGAGAAATCAGTGAAAGAATGGGTGAGCGGTGCTTAGCAGGTGCCTGGGAGGCGTGCTACTGCTGCTGCTTCCAGTGGACACTGGGTTGTGAGCTGACAGGTAGTGAAGAAGCTTAACCACCATGTTGCCCTTTGCTGTTGTTGGGTGCCGGCAGGTCAACCCCGACTCATAGGGACCCCATATGACAGAGTAGAACTGTCCCATAGGGTTTTCTTGGCTGTAATCTTTACAGAAGCAGATTGCCAGGTCTTTTTCCCATGAAACTGCTGGGTGGGTTCCAACCACCAACCTTTCAGTTAGCAGCTGGGCGGCTTCCTGGTTGCCTGTTAAGCCTCTGTTTTTGCTTCGTTTTTAAACTTGCTGTTTATCTGCAGGGCCCAATTTCAAGAACTGCAGTTTCTCTTGAAAGATTTATCTGTAATCCTCAGAATGCTGTGCTTTGTGGTCAATGGACTTTCAAGCCATGTGACTGAGGGTGTTAATGACCCCATGATATAGGCACTACTGTTTTACCCATTTTATAAATGAGAGAACCGAAGCTCAGAGAGGCTAAGTCATCTGCCCAAGGTCACCCAGCTTTTTGGATCCCAGACCTATGTGAACCCAGAGAGTGTGGTCTTAGCGACCTCAGCATTCTCTCTGTCCCCCTCCCGCTTCTCCTACGGGTAACACAGAGTCAGAATGGCCTAAACTCAATCCCAGCTTCAGTATCCTGTTTAAAACTGAAGGTCACGGTACCCACTTCTCTAGGTGGTTGTGAGAATCAAATGAGAAAACAAGATGTACACAATGCCTTTATCCCACGGCCTGGCACACAGTAGGTGATCAATGAATGTTAGGTTCCCTGGTGTCCACCCTCCTCCACACGCCTTCCTTTTTGCTGCCACTTCCCCAAAGCACCTCACTCACATGAACCTGAGCTCCGACTCCCTTCGGACCAAGACTTCCCGGAGACGCTGGATTTTCGCCATCTCAAGTTCAATCTCCTCCGGCATCATGGTTGTCTCAGCCATGGAGATGATATCCAGTTGATCTGTGCGGGAGACACGAAACGCAGGGGTCAAGACCACACGGCTGCAGCAAGGCCAGGTGGCTCGGAGCTGTCAAGAAACCCCATGGGACATTGGAATATTCATCCTTCTAGAGAACAGCCTTGTTCCAATGACCATCACGAGCCCCAAGGGCCCACAGACCCCAGCTTGTGCTCGTAATATGTATTTGTGAGTGGCCCCTTTGGAAATCAGAAAACATGTTTTGTGTGGAAACCCTGTTATGATGGCAAGTAGAAGCTCAGACAAGCTCACAAAAACCCATTTAAGGCATAAGGTTGTCAGTCTCTGCCTGGTCCCCGCTTCTGACCTTCTGCTCCCCTTGACCATGGCCACTGTGCCCTGTCCCGTCCTCCAAGACCAATTCCAACTACAGGCAGAAAAAATGCTTATGATAATTATTTTATGGGAAGACTAATAATCATCTTATAGTAACACTAAGTAATGGAGCCCTGGTGGCGCAGTGGTTAAGAGTTCAGGCTGCTAACCAAAAGGTCGGCAGTTCAAATCCACCAGCCCCTCCTTGGAAACCCTATGGGGCAGTTCTACTATGTCCTCATAGGGTCGCTATGAGTCGGAATCAACTCGATGGCGACGGGTTTGGTTTTTTGGGTTTAATACTAAGCAGTAGTCATAAAAAGTAATAAAAAGTTTGTTGTAGAAAATTGAGATAATGCAGGTAGGGAAAAAAGAGTGAAAATAAAGTTATCCACGATCCCATTGCCCAGAGAAAACCACTAGTAGCATTTTGGTGTGCATTCTTCCAGTCTTTCCATAAATCCAATGACCGGTGTCTTCATCAGAGAGGAGACAGGATGATTCAGACACAAAGACATATGCAGGGAATCACACCAAGTGAAGACGGAGGCAGAGACTGGAGTGATGCACCTACAAGCCAAGGGAAGCCCAGGATTCCTGGAAGCACCAGAAGCTAGGAGAGAGGCGTGGAAGGATTTTTCCACAGAGCCTCTAGAAGGAACCAACCCTGCTGACACCTTGATTTCGAACTTTTAGCCTCCAGATCTGTGAGAGAACAAATTTCTGTTGTTTTAAGCCACCTGGTTGGTGGCCATTTGTTATGGCAGCCCCAGGAAACTTATGCAGGAGGTGTTCTAGCATCAGATGACCTGGGTTAAATTCCAGCTCTGCCCCTTGCTAGTGTAGCCTTGGAGAGTTAGTTAACCCAGGGATGGATTACCCAATAAGCAAGGTATGCATGGGCTTGCCTGTGCTTATTTACTAATCTGTAGTGCACAATTTCACGTGGGTTTCACCACAGTTAAGCCCGTGCGTAGTTTGCTTACCGTAAGCCTGTGTGTACTGTGCTTACTGGTTAATCCGCCTGTGAATTAACCTTTCTGTATCTCAGTTTCATCCTCTGGAATATGAGGATAATAAGAGAGCCCACCACCCAGGGCTGTTGCCAGGACTGAATTAACCAAGCAGTGTCATGCCCACTACACAGTTATGATTATCCTTGTCATTGTGTTGCTGGTTTTGTTTTTGTTGTTGATTTGTGACTTAGGAGACCCCATGTGTTACCCACTAGAACTGCTCCATAGGGTTTTCTTGGCTATAATCTTTACGAAAGCAGATCGCCAGGCCTGTTTCTTCCGCAGTGCCGCTGGATCAAATGCTTTTGTGGATGCAAAAGTGAGCAGTTAACCACCCTGCGGATATAAGTATCCTCATTTTTCACATCATGGTTTAGATGGACAACCTGATTTCCATGGGACAGATGCTGAAAATAGCAACACACTCCAGGGCATGGCATGGGATGAAGAGAATTCATAACACCCCATGAGCTGGCATTTCATCTCCGTCCTCAGGGGAGGATGGAGGCGGGGTACTGCCAGGCTCCCGGTGTTGAGATGAACATTCAGCTTTCATTGGGGCAGCAATGCAGATGATGTGTCTGTTGAAAGGTCTTGCTCATGGATGCTTCCCATCCCCTGGAGAGAGGCACATAGTCTAGACCTCAGGTCAGACGCAAAACAGTTAGAATGTGTCAGGCTCAGCAGAAGCCTTATCTCATTTAATCTTCACAGCACCCTACGCCAGGAGTTGGTAAACTACGGCCCGTGAGCCAAATCCACGCTTGTTTTTGTAAACACAATTTTACTGGAACACAGCCATGTCCGTTCATTTCTGTGTGTTTGGCTGTTTTCACGCTACAACACAGAGTTGAACAGCTGGGACAGAGAATGTCTGGCCTACCGAGCCTCAAATATTTACTGTCTGGCCCTTTACAGGAAAAGTTTGTCAACCTCTGCCCTAAAGTATTTAGATGGTAGATACCATAATTTCCCCAGTATAAAGGTTAAGAAATTGAACTTTACCCAGTAATGATAATTAAAAAAAAAAAAATCCTGCTGCTGTCGAGTCAATTCCAACTCATAGCTACCCTGTAGGACAGAGTAGAACTGCTCTATAGGGTTTCCAAGGCTGTAAATCTTTACAGAAGCAGACTGCCACATCTTTCTCCTGTGGAGCGGCTGGTGGGTTCGAACCGCTGACCTTCTGGTTAGCAGCTGAGTGCTTAACCACTGTGCCACCAGGGCTCCTTTAGTAACAATAACAGCTAACATTTATTGGGCATTTATCACATACCAGCATCTATGCATTACCTTAAATAAGGTAATCATGGTCCTGGGTGGTAAGTACTCTTATCCCCATTTTACAGGTGAAGAAATTGAGGCTCAGGAAAAGAAGTAAGTGGTGGGGTTGAGATTTAAAACAGATCTGTCCCGCTCCAAAGCCTTTGTTGTAATCAATCATATTCATTTAGGAACTACCTTCTCATTTAAGAAATGCCACCACCTTCCTAACGATAGAGAGAATTGAGTATATTGTATTATATTAGGTACACAGAGTAGGTGTTCTCAAACTTTTGTGGGCATGGTGAATACCTGGGGAGCTTGGATTCTATAGGCCTGGATTGGGGGTTTGTGTCCAGGGATCCTCACGCAAGAGGTCTTCCGACCACTCTTTGGGAAATGGTGGCACGGATGTAAATGATCAGTTTCTGCTGGGTCTGAACTTGTGTGAAAGAACTAGTGTGAGGGAAACCTTTTCAACAACATTTTCCAGCTAGAAGGCAAGCCGCCCACAGGTGCTGATGACTCTTTCCGCGAAAGGGACAAATGGTGGAAGGAGACAATGGAAGGGTCCCGGCCGGGCAGAGAAGAAGATGGGCTATGAGGGTCCGCCACAGCTTTCTAGCCAGAGCTCGGTTGCTGTGTGCAGATGACAAAGCATTAAGACACAGCAGTCCTCAGGGCTCCCTCTGCCATTGCTGTCACTTAGCTTCCAGGAGCTGAGTCACTTCTGGGGGAAGAGGCCGCTAAATCCATCTTCCTATGCCCAAATGCTACCCTGGGAAGATGCATGCCTTGCAAGCCGCAGCAACGGCGTATAACAGCTGAGTGCCGGGGGCATGACCGGGACATGCCAGCAGGTTTAATCATTTACAGGCATTCCTCGGATTACGAACAAGCTCCGTTCCCAAATCTTTTTCTTTTTACCTAAATTGCTAAAGGTAATTTATATATACCTTTATTTTGGGGGCGAGGGGGTGGTTACTGTGCTTTAGGTGAAAAGTTTACAGCTCAAGTCAATTTCTCATTCAAAAATTTATACACATATTGTTTTGTGACATTAGGTGTAATCCCCTCAATGTAACAGCACACTCCCCCTTTCCACTCCAGGTTCCCCGTGTCCATTTGCCAGTTCCCAAGTCTGTCTTTAAGTCAAATTTGTACGTAAGTCAGAACAGTTAGGTGCCGTTGTTACCTAACGTTAGTCCAATGTTTGTCTTAGTATATGGCATATGGTGTACCTTTCTATGCATAAAAAACAGTAAAGAAACACTTCCAGATACACTGAAACATCTTTAACATAATAATAAAGTAATAATCATAATGTTTTGATGTGTCACAAAGTAGCACCGTTTGTTAATATGAACCACTGTATATACCTCAAATTTTTAATAGAACAGGCTTTACAGGGGTTGGTTCGTAAGTAAGGGTTGTACATATCATAATGCGGCGCTGCCTGTATCTTGAAAATTTAAGGCTCTCCAGCGACAGGGATGGTAGAGGTGATGGTAGATGGGGGCTGGCAGTCTCCTAGAAACTTCTGATTTAAATATGGACTAACCAGTTGCCGTTGAGTAGACTCTGACTCAGGGCAACCCATGTGTGTCATAGTAGAACTGGGCTCCGTAGGGTTTTTCAATGGCTATTTTTTTTTTGGAAGTACACTGCCAGGCCTTTCTTTAAAGGTGACTCTGGGTGGACTTGAACCTGCCAGCTTTCAGTTAGCAGCCCAGCACATTTACCATTTGCACCACCTGGGACTCCCAGGGCCTCTCTAGTACTCGCTAATCCCCCTTGCTAACAAAGAGAAATTAGGCTTCAGTCTGATACGTGGTCAGGCTACAGTGTTTAGCCAGAATTTCAAAACATTGCTTTATTTTCATCAGATTTATTTTTATGGCTACTTTCGAATTACGCCAAGTGATAGCAACTTTTCACTTATGGATGTGATATAAAAATTTTTTTAGAAAGAAGCTTTTTTGGGCATAACGGTCTATGTGAAGAAATATTGAGTAAATGACAGTATAGACAGTAGATGGCCGTCTATACTATCATTTAGTTTATTGTTTAGTTTATATTAAATGATAGTATAGACAGGACATTCATGTCTATGAAATGAATTGAAGTTTTGGAAACACTATTCTGTAGTCATTGTTCACCAGCAGCTTACCCTTGAGGGTAAATTTGGACAGACTCCAGTTTAAATCTGGCTCTACCACTAATTGAGTGACCGAGGCAACTTACTTCATCTCCCCAAGCCTCTTTTCGTCTTCTGTAAAATGGAGATAATAACTCCTACCACATAAAGTTGCTGCTATAGAGGTGAAGTAAGGTACTAACATATGTCAAGTGCTTGGCACAGTGCCCAGGCATGACAATGGTCAGTA